CTATATTTCATTCTACTGTATTCTATTTTATTCTACTCTATTCTATTTCATTCTACTCAATTCTATTTTACTCTATTCCTTTCTACTCTATTCTATTTTATTATATTCTACTATATTCTATTCTATTATGTTCTATTCTACTCTACTATATTTCATTCTACTGTATTTTATTTTATTCTACTCTATTCTTTTTCATTCTACTCTATTCTATTTTTCTCTATTCCTTTCTACTTTATTCTATTTTATTATATTCTACTATAGTCTATTCTATTCTTTTCTACTTTATTCTATTCTACACTGTTATATTTTATTTACTCTGTTTTACTCTATTCTGTTCTATTCTACTCTGTTCCTTTATATTTATTCTATATTCTTCTACTCTATTCTACTCTAGTCAGTTATATTCTACTCTATTCTATGTTATTCTATTCTATTATACTCAATTCTAATATATTCTACTTTTTTCTAATCTACTTTTTTCTATTTTATTGTACTGTACTATATTCTAGTCTGCTCTATTCTACTCTATTCTGTTCTATTTTATTCTACTCTATTCTCTTCTATTCTAATCTATTCACTTCTATTCTATTCAATTTTATTCTACTGTATTCTATTCTACTCTGTTCTATTTTATTCTACTACTATATTTTACTTTATTCTGTTTTATTCTACTCTGTTCTATTTTAATCTAATCTACTCTATTTTTCCTCTATTTTATTCAACTCTTTTCTACTCTGTTCTATTTTATTCTATTCAACTTTATTCAACTTTATTCTATTCTATTCTATTCTATTCTATTCTATTCTATTCTATTCTATTCTATTCTATTCTATTCTATTCTATTCTATTCTATTCTACTCAATTCCTTTCTATACTGTTCTATTTTCTTCTATTTTACTTTACTCTGTTCTATTTTCTTCTACTCTATTCTACTCTATTCTATTATATTCTACTCTACTTTGTATTTTGTTTTATTTTATTCTATTCTATTATTGTCTATTATATTCTACTCTATTTTATTTTATTCTATTCTATTCTAATATACTCTATTCTGTTCTACTCTACTATATTATATTCTATATATTATACTCTAGAGAACAAGTTATCTTTGGACACGCTTCAAAACGTTCTCATTTTTTTCTGAATTTCTTACAGTTTATTTTAAATTCCTAAAATAAATGGTAAATGGACTGTACTTATACAGCGCCTTTCTATCTTATTTCAAGATACTCAAAGCTCTTTACACGACAATCTGTGTCCTCATGTACCCATTCATACAGCTCTATACTAGATTTCTACAAAGATAACTGAACAAATCATTCTAAAGAGACTAATCAGAGCTTTATCACATTCAGACACTGATGGGACACACATCAGAGGCTATGAGGGGTTCAGTGTTTTGCCCAGGGACACTTCAGCATGTGACTGCTGGTGGATTCGAACCCCCAACTCTTGCATTGGAGGACGACTGCTCTAACCACTCAGCCACAGCCGCCCCACAATTTTATTTTTAGAACTTGTTTCTTTAATGTGAAGATTGAATACTTTCTTTGTCTTCACACTTTTGTATGCTTGAATATTGTTTAGGCAAATCAATATGAGTAAACCTCGATATTCTTTTTCTCAAACTAAATGCATAAAGAATGAAACGGCTCCTTCTTTGTGGCAGAATCGACACATTTCACTCTTGCCCGGTGTTTTAATGCTCATGAGGACACACAGGTCTCACACAGGCCCGTCGTCGTCATCATCCATCACTCAGACCTCCAACAACGATGCAAAGCAGACACATTCCTGCGCGAGTGCTTTCAGATGGCCATGAATATTTCATTGCAGCATCCCCGTGTCGTCCTCGGTCCTGCCCCGCCGAGGAGACAATATTTATTTTTGTCCTCTTAAGTGGGAAGGCTGGACGTCCGCCTCCATGACTTTAGGGAGGGGCCACAGTGAGGGATGGCTGGTGCTGCAGATGTGGTCAGGAGAAATCTGATAAGCCAGTTAGCTCCCTTCAGGTTTATTGATCAGGAGTGGGCATTCTCAAAAGCACCATGACTCTATGAAGTCATCTTTAACAGGTTGGCCAAGATTGTAGTCCTCTTATCTGAGACATTTGATCTGAAACTGCCTGTTCCAGTTCCTTTTTCACATATGTGACCTACTTACTGCTGCTCTTTGCAAAATGTGGCTTATTTAAACATTTCATGACTATGTTCAGTTTAGTGAGGCGTTCAGTGTCCCTCTACAGGAGACACGGGGCTTTAGAGACAGTAAAGGCTGTTACGTACTTCACCAGACGTGTCAAAGGTTACTCTCACTGTAGCAGTTGCATGATAGAAATGATGCTTCTGTTCTTGTTCTGCCTCCGAGAACAGTTCTGTGCACAGGATCCTGGGAGAACCTTTCTCTCACAGCACCAAGTGTATGCTTAGCCAGAACTTCAAGGGCTTGTTTCTGTGCAGCATTGTTGCCAGATATACACTAACTATTTTTATACAGTATTTAGGGTTAGCATGCAGAAGTATGCAAAAGTGCAAATGCATTTTTTTTTTGCAAAAGTATGCAAAAAAATAGTTAATAAAAAGCTCCTCACATGCCTCCACCCTCATTTGCCTCTCTCTGGGCTGTTGAGCAAGGCCCTTAATCTGCTCCACTGGGCACCTTAGATGGCAGCTCTCTGCTCCACAGAGCTGTGGTAGCTCAGTGGTCTGTGGTTGTGTCAGGAAGGACATCAGGCGTAATAATAATCACCAAGTCTTTGTGTGAGTTAGTTCGTTGTGGTGACTCCTGAAGCAGGGAACAGTCAACAGAAGTTATTAAAAAGCTCAATTATACAATAGTTTTTGCGTTCTGTTCACCAAGAAATAACTTTTTATTCACGTGAACGTCCCACGTTTCATGAGAAGGTTTAATGCAACCACCCAGACCACGAGCTGAGCGGTAGCCCGGCGTCCCATCAACAACCTCAACACAGCAGCTGCCTGACTCGGATCAGATGTTCGAGTACGTTAGAAAGGACAGCATCTTTACAACTGCGCCGGCTAAACTCATAAAGAACGTCAAAGAACTCGTGGAAGGAGATGGACGATTTGTTGTGGAGACAACACAGAGACAGTTCATGGTGGTGTGGTCTGGGAGAGGTACCTCACCCAGGCAGCATTCTCCTCCATCATACCACCATCTAACTGGAAATCAACATCTACTCTGCCAGCCGTGCTCGACACGTGCACCATGGGAAGTTTACCAGGTGTTCGCGTTACAGTTTCTCTTTAGAGTAAAGAGCTCCTCACCATGTCAGGGAGAACAGAGGTCTTACGTGTCATCATGTTGCAGCCTTAAGAAGGAGGCGGTTTTGTGCTGGATTCTGGGTTTGATCTGTTACAGAAACACAAAGGATGGCGAATCAATCACAGAAAATATGCACTGTTTATCTGCTAAATGAGTTGAAAGAACACATCCATCCATCCATCCATCCTTCCTTTTTGGGTGCCCATATCCAGCAGTCACTGTATGAGAGGTGGGAGACACCCTGGACAGGTCTCCAGTCCATCACAGGGACACCTGGACAGGTCTCCAGTCCATCACAGGGACACATAGAGACAAACAACCATTCACTCTCTCACCTATGAACAATTCGGAGTCACCAATCAGCCTAACATGCATGTTTTTGGTCTGTGGGAGGAAACTGGAGTACCTGGAGAAAACCCACGCAGCACGGAGAGAACATACAAACTCCACCCAGAAGGGTCCCCAGTCGGGATTTGAACTGTCGACCTGCTTGATGAGAGGTAGCAGCTCTACTAACTGCTCCACCGTGCTGCTGTTAATGAACATTTCTCTTGGTTAATTCAACCTTTTTTCTTGATGGCTATAAATTCAGTTTCATAACGTCTCCAGTCTATTTGTGTTTTACTGCATTTACTGTAGGTTATAAGAATTTTAAATTCAGCCTTTTCGTAACTCAGTCTGCACATATTGATCACCCATATGGGTTATCTTTGTCAAATATTATAACGGTTGTATATTTTTTCTTTGTGTGTACTTTATTGTCATCGTTTCCATTTTGGTGTGAGACCAGGTGGAAAGTACAAGCCAAGGTGCTCTGAAACTCATTTCTGCTTCCATTTTCACAAACTCTGCAGGACACCAGTGACCTGTCAGTCTTTCTGCATGAGCACATTCGTGTCCACAGTCGTCTCAACACAGAGTCCAGGGACAGAGACAGGGAGCTGGGTCAGTGCGGATCCTGCGGCACCAACCCGGACCAGCTGAAGCAGGAGGCCATCCACCTGGCTCTGAGCCGCGGCCGCTCGATGGCTAAACCTTTGTTTGAAGCCAGCCCTGGGGCCGGAGCAGTGCTAGGACAGAGTGAGACCAAGCGTGGAGACAATGTCTCAAGGGATGCTGGGCATCAACCTCACAGTCCTCGTGTCCCGCAGAGCCCCAGGACGCCTCAAAGGACTCCCCACACCCTAAGACGGAGAGGGCCCAAGCTCCCCAACCCTGACATGGACCGCTGGGTGGAGGAGCAGCAGCAGCTGGTGGCCTCCACGTCTGGGTCCAGTGCAGATGGTGTCACCCTACATTCCTACCATAAGGTACCCCTGAAAGCCTTCTGCAAGCCCCGCCCCCCTCTTTAATGAGCTGTGGGAGTAATGCATGTCTTTATGAGAGCTCGTCAGCAGATGAATCATGGATGGGTCTCAGCTCGTTCTTTAAGAGTCCCTCGCTAATGGAATGGAATCAGGTCATGATTCAGCCGTCATAAAGGCTCGCCAGTCAAAAAGCACTTGTGATCAATAGGTGGTGGAGGGGGCAGCCATATTTAAAATTGCTGCTGGTGAAATATGCATTTGTGCGATGAAAGCTGCTGTAAAGTGGGCCTGCCCCTCCCCCACCTCCCCAAGTGACGGAACCGAACCCGACAAGGTGAAGCAGACAAACACATTTAAAATCCTCCGTGCACCGCAGTGATTTGTTTTGTGATGATCCTCGTTCATGTTACATTTTATTTATACTTTTAAAACCCAGAACTTTACGACCTGAGCAGCTGCGGGTAAGCCCACGTCTTCTCTTCATAAAATTATGCAAAATAAATAGAATATATGGCAAATAAACATTTCAAACTGTAATTAACATGTTGCATTCATTAAAAAAGAACATTAAATTCATTTTGTATAAAAACCACTGCTGAAGGTGAGTCCAAAAATATATATTTTTAATCTTATTTTTCTGTCTTGCTTGTCCAAGTGTACAAAGTTGTAAACAACATAAAATACTGTAAACACAACAACTGCACCTCCTGTGAAACTGCAGTGAATGCTTATTGTTGAATGATTGTTGCTGAAATCAGCTGAAAAGGTTTCACCTCTGAACTGTTCATGCGAGGCGAGTTTGAAAAGACATTTGCTGAGAGCAGAAGAAAAACAGCTGAAATGTGTAGAAAAGGCTGAAAAGAGCAGTAATGTAGCCGACATGAACAGATTATGTTGAAATGGGCAGAGAGGCTGAAGAGATTACAAAAAGCTGAAATTTTCAGAAAAGTTTAAATTAGTGGAAAGAATCACAAAAGGCAGAAATGAGCAAAAAAAAATAAAATAAAAGGTCAAAATTAGTAGAAAAATACCTTGAAAGTAGCCGAAAAGCAGAAAAAAGCTGAATTTAGCTGAAAGAAGCTGAAATGAGCAGTAGAAGTTTTAAACAGCAAAGTCTGAGGGCTCCATTCATTTTCCGTGAGAAAAACATGTCTGAAAAGGCAAAATATTTCAAAAAGTAAAACTTGCACGAGTACCAGAAGTCTCAGCAGGAAAGTTCTGAATGAGCCGAATGTTTTGAGACATGAACTGTTGAAACAGAACAAAAACTGAGGAGCGAGTAACGCGACGATAAACATGCAGAAGAAAACCGCATCTCAATAGTGAGAATAATTTATAAACATTTTCACAATAATGAAATTAATCTTTAAGTGTATGCATTGAATTCTCATACTTTTACAAAAGAAATATCCATCCATCCATTTTCTTTTCCCGCTTATTCCATTTTGGGTCACGGGGGTCGCTGGTGCCCATGTCCAGCAATCACTGTGCGAGGGGCGGGGTACACCCTGGACGGGTCGCAAGTCCATCACAGGGACACAAAGAGACAAACGAGACAAACAACCATTCACTCTCTCACTCACACCTAGGGACAATTTAGAGTTACCAATCAGCCTAACATGCATGTTTTTGGACTGTGGGAGGAAACCGGAGCACCCGGAGAAAACCCACGCATGCACGGAGAGAACATGCAAACTCCACCCAGAAAGGCCCCTGGACCGGGGTTTGAACCGGGGACCTGCTCGCTGAGAGGCAGCAGCTCTACCAGTTGCGCCACCGTGCTGCCAAAAGAAATATATTTTTGTTAATTTTAGCAATAAATGTCAGTTTTTCTACTTAAACCCAAACAAAGCTTTCATGTCAGACACTGGAAAAAAGGGTTTAAATATCAGTTGGGGGGGGGGGGGGGGTGGTAACTTGTGCTTACAGCAGCACGTACATCCTGCAGGATTGCATGCCTATAAATCATGTTGTGTCGCTTGTTCTAGAGTTATTTCATGCTTTAAGAATGACTGTGTGCAGTGGAGTGGTCGTAAATGGGCCGTCTTGTCATTTTCAAAGTGATGTTTGAACAGACAGTTTTCAGAACTTTATCAACCACAGCCACAGAGCATCAGAATCAGAATCAACTTTAATACATTCCAGTGCAGCCGTCCAACAAGGGTAGACGGAAATGCACGGAGGTTGCAGCTTCGTGTGAAGCACTACTCTTATCACTTAGATAAGAAAAGAGAATAAAAACATGAGGAAAGAAGGTATAAAAAAAGATCTCTCACACTGTGTCCTTGAGACACAGGGCACAGTGTAAGGTAGCAAAAAACGACCTCAGCACAAACAACATAGATAGACATCTTGAGGAAGCCGACAAAGGCGGTGAGATTGGCAGTGAGCACAACCAGGAAGTTCCATAGTCCTGATAAAGATGGCACAGTGTCTATCAGC